AAATGTCAGGACTCTGTAGGGCCTATATACCTATAGCTACTAGTCAAATGTCAGGACTCTGTAGGGCCTATATACCTATAGCTACTAGTCAAATGTCAGGACTCTGTAGGGCCTATATACCTATAGCTACTCAGTAAATGTCAGGACTCTGTAGGGCCTATATACTGTACCTTTGGCTACTGGTCAAATGTCAGGACTCTGTAGGGCCTATATACTGTACCAGGGCCTTCTCCTTACATGAAGTCACAGTTCAAATTGTTTTGATAATATCAGGATCGTGGTGGTATATAGCTTAATAGTCTTGCATCAAGTTAAAACATCACAGCATGACAGCAGTCACTTATTGTTTAATGATACTTGAGTTTTTAAAATGAAACAATTGTCTTAGGATCAGTCGTTTTAATTTCTATTAAACTTGTAATTGCCTCCTTGAACATTTGTCAGGGTTGGAGCATTAAAGACAACAGAACATTTGTCAGGGTTGGAGCATTAAAGACAACAGAACATTTGTTAATATGCAAGCAATGTTTATTGAGTTAACGACCACCGTGTCTAGTCGGGTGGACAATAAATACTGTATGTTAGGTTTAACTCTCTTGTCTAGATCTATAGACCCAACACCACACATACAGTCACACAGGGCTACCAAGCCTATACAGGTACCATATCACCTCATCCACACTCGTACCAGGGGTGGTTGGGTGGAGGGAGAGGTATATCACCTCAGCCAGAACCCAGGGGTGGGGGGCAGTGTTATATCACCTCAGCCAGACCAGTACCTCAATCACTGAACCTTACCCTCCACAGACCCGGTCATAGGGACAATGAATAAATCTCACTGTCCCAGGATAAGGGTATATCGCCAACTCAAAATGAACCCATCAGCATATCACATCCTGACTTACATTAACCTACAACCTTAGTCATTTACAGATCCAGGTACATTGTACACAAGCTCCCTATACATGAGATGGAGCCAGAACCTTGATTATGTAGGCTGGATCTCCCTGTGTGTCTCGCCAAGGCAATAGTTCAAACAGTCCAAGTAAAGTGAATCCTGCATTCCGAAACTTTGTTCATCACCACTTATCTTCCGTCATTCAAATTGAATACCTTTTTGTTAAATCTGAGCTCTGGGTCCATTTTTTGCAATGACACTCTATTGGAAGATTAGGGACTAAAATGGCAAGATTCATGTTACAAGGATGATAATATAACAACACTCGCTAAACTATAGTGAAGAAAATTATCTAGGACATACATATATAACTCGGCTAGATTATCACAGTGTTTAACTCAGGACAAACACTATACCTTGGCAGTACTGCATCTTCTATAATAACTAACGATGTCTGAGATTCTATCAGGACAAGTATTGGAGTCTGCATACCTGTAGAATAGACACATAGGCTGCAAACAAGGCTATGCTCAACACACACATTTTGTACAATCTTTTCTTAACTCAATTTCTTACAATTTCTGTTCAATACATAAAACTTATTTTATTTTTTTAACTCTTCACTTATTTAAATTATGTCAGAAATGACTGTTCATGTGTATATTGCATCCTAATAAGAAGCTTTTTAACAGAATTATTGCCATTGATATATATGTGTCACCGTGGTGACATTTTTGTCAAAAACATAAACAACTTCTCAGGGATGTTTGCTTCCCTATGATGACCAAGATTGCAGAAAGCATATCCTTCTTTTTACACATCTAAACAGTAACCGCTACATGAAGTACCCAGATATAAATCAAACAAAAATATCAAATAATCTCTACGGCTTCAGATCAGGCATGCAGCCACGTAGCTGTAAAACTAATTTTGTTTTTACACGTGAAAATAACATCTGAGTTTTTTGAGGAATGGCAGTTTTCACACCATCTTTTACCAGATATAGAAAACACACTAGTGTCAACCATGCAATTTTATATGTTAAACATTCCTTAGTATAACTACAAATGATGGAGACGAACCATTACCGTCATCACTGAATACTATCCATCGTCTTATATAAATGTCTTTACTTTCGCAAATGTACGCATTTAAATATCACATCTGCTTGTTTCTCTTCCTATTCTTTTCCTTTTCACAAACACTTCATTCCACTTCAGTATAGAAATAGTTTCAAGATGACAAATACATAAAACTTGACACATTTAAAACACAAAATTGAAAAATAAATACCTATCTAAGGTAACACATGTATAATGACTATTTTGACTCTTAAATATTTCATTTATTAAATTCTTTTCTTATATACATTGTAAATAAAACCACAAGTTGACAACTTACAAATTTGCTGACTCAGCAATAATTGAAACTCAGTCAAGCAGATAAATGTTTTAAATTAGCGTTAACAAACCATACAATTAAATTTCAAACACAGTATAGAGTTCAATCTCTCACAGTAGAGTCCAATCTCTCACAGTAGAGTCCAATCTCTCCCAGTATAGAGTTCAATCTCTCACAGTAGAGTCCAATCTCTCACAGTAGAGTCCAATCTCTCACAGTAGAGTCCAGTCTCTCACAGTAGAGTCCAATCTCTCACAGTAGAGTCCAATCTCTCACAGTAGAGTCCAATCTCTCACAGTAGAGTCCAATCTCTCACAGTAGAGTCCAATCTCTCACAGTAGAGTCCAATCTCTCACAGTAGAGTCCAATCTCTCACAGTAGAGTCCAATCTCTCACAGTAGAGTCCAATCTCTCACAGTAGAGTCCAATCTCTCACAGTAGAGTCCAATCTCTCACAGTAGAGTCCAATCTCTCACAGTAGAGTCCAATCTCTCACAGTAGAGTCCAATCTCTCACAGTAGAGTCCAATCTCTCACAGTAGAGTCCAATCTCTCACAGTAGAGTCCAATCTCTCACAGTAGAGTCCAATCTCTCACAGTAGAGTCCAATCTCTCACAGTAGAGTCCAATCTCTCACAGTAGAGTCCAATCTCTCACAGTAGAGTCCAATCTCTCCCAGTAGAGTCCAATCTCTCACAGTAGAGTTCAATCTCTCACAGTAGAGTCCAATCTCTCCCAGTAGAGTCCAATCTCTCCCAGTAGAGTCCAATCTCTCCCAGTAGAGTCCAATCTCTCACAGTAGAGTCCAATCTCTCACAGTAGAGTCCAATCTCTCACAGTAGAATTGTACTGCGAACCGTACTTTTTTACTATACTAAGCCGTCCAATCTCTCACAGTAGAATTGTACTGCGAACCATACTTTTTTACTATACTAACAAAGACTTTTGAATCTATCTACATATACACTGTTAATCACTGTAATTAAATCTACTTTTCAGTACAAATTTGACCTGCTCTATTGGGTTTTCTGAGGGGACAACAAAGTGGCTACGATATCACATCTAAGGTATTTTCTGATAAATAATCAATAGACTATTTGCATATTTAGATAACTTGATATACTGATAAATAATCAATAGACTACATGTATATTTAGATAACTTGATATACTATCTATTTACACAATAACGTTTTAATGTTGTCACCTCATTAACAAAGAAAATACAAAACAGACATAAACATTCAACAACATCCAATAAAAAGGTCACCGTGACAACAGATGACACAGCATGGGAAAAACAAACATTTTTATGTATTTACAATTTGCATACGAGTTTCTAATGACAAAAAAATCTTGCAAAAGCATTAAAGATTTTCTGCCTCTATGTGGTGTTAAATATATTTTGGCAATACTTTTACACAGAGCAGAGTGTGCAGGAGTGTGGGAAAGGAAAGGGGTAGGAAGGTCAAGGACAAATGTTTTGAATAAAGGGATGAGAGGGGTAATATCCAGGCAGGCAGATAATAAGTCTGGGGAGAGATAAGATCTTTTTAATGAAGAATAACAACACAACTATGGAGCACAAAGTTTGAAGGTGTACAATGGACAGTAGTCAGGAAGCGAAGAAACAGAGGAGTTGTGAGTTTTTACGTAGGAAGGGGTCTTATAGCTATTGCAGGAAAGAATGGATGTAGGAAAAGCTAACAATGGCAGGGCAAACATTTCACTTACAAACATTAGTAGCCTAGATAAATTAAACATCATTAGTTATATATACTCTGATGAAATATGTGTTGATTCACTCAAAGGGGAGGAATTGTGTTTTTGTTTGACTTTTGATTCCCAGGAACATGGATGTTAAACACTTCTGGTTATAAGAGGATAAATATATACCACACGGAATGCCCTTAAACTCTGGTTTCAATAGGAAACATCTCCATAAAAGATTCAATCCATAAATAATATAATTATTATTATCTCCCTTTAATAAGAGTGGCATTATGTGTACATCTTGGATACAGGGTTTTGATATGCTATGCTCAGGTGCACATACAATGGCTATTCAGGTGGTTAAAATTTCACTCGAGCTCTGCTTTGTAAATTCTGAGCGATGATCTTGAACATGAAAGATTTCTCAATGACTTTCATCTTTATAAACAGTGTTTTGACTGAATGTTTCCCCTTACATGTTGAGCTATTGTTTTTATATATTATGTACATCTTATGACTTTTATTTAAACACTGATTTCTGAATTGATTCTGTCTATGTTCTTCAGACTCACCGTTCCATCTGCGTACTATTTAGACTAAAATAACTGCAATCAGAAATTACAAACAGCTCATTCAGAAAGCACATGACAAGTTTTAATGCTGTACAAGTGTTCATTACTGTAAGGCATATAAATACTGGCTGGATACATATGGTCGTACGTACATAGATATTGCAATGTTGTTGGCAGTGATGCATATGAATACCATCTTTGAGTCAGGAACACCTTAAGTTACGTACAATCTACAGGCTGTGTAATCTATTCTAACACAGACCAACATCCTGTCTTCAGATGCTGTAAAGCCCAGCCAAACGCCGGGTGACGTCAAGGCAAATTATTTCAAATTTCCATTTTTAAAATTATGAATTTTACAATTTTTTTTCTTCTCACTTTTTAAAAACATATTTAAGACAATGAACACAAAAAATCATTAATATTATGAGTAAATTAATAAAAACAAATGTCTCCTGACTCGATAAAACGTAATAAGAGAAATACCATGATAAAAGAGATTTTCAGTTGTGTGAGAGGACATAAAAATTCTCACAAATTTCAACAAACACAGCATATACGGTTTAAACAGATTTAAATTCCATTTTGCATACTTTTCCATAATGGAGAAAAATGCATGTGGTACAACTTCAAATACAATGTACTCAAACAATTTCTCTCTTTCTCTACTTTTAAATGTCTTTTCATTGTCATTTAAATTTCTGTTGTCGGTAAAACGATGGCAGTCTAACTTCATATAAATATGATAAATAGGAAGATAATAAAATTCTATCAAGAATAATATAACATTTGAGAGTATACATAATGTACATGTATCAACAGCAGTCTGCTAATGTCAGCTTAGTTCTAAAATATCGTAAAACTCACAAACGAGGCGTTAACTATGTTAGGATTATCAGTTATAATATCAATCTCAAAACTGGACAGTATTATGGGGTGTGTCACCTTTACACTCCTCAGTTGCAAAACCACACAAAGGCATGTCTTGGTACTAACAGTGTAACAGTGAGAGCAGACCAGGGCAGGACGCAGTCCCGATCCTGGGGCCAGATCAGGGCAGGACGCAGTCCCGATACTGGGGCCAGATCAGGGCAGGACGCAGTCCCGATACTGGGGCCAGATCAGGGCAGGACGCAGTCCCGATACTGGGGCCACAGCAGGGCAGGACGCAGTCCCGATACTGGGGCCACAGATCAGGTTTCTGTATATCTCTGTTAATAAAACCTAATCCATTGTCCTATAAAAAAAATCCTGGTCACAGATCCTTACTTCCTCAGTCAGGTATACAATTCTCACAAATATTTGTCATATTTCTTACATAAATTCTCACAAAACTCTATGGTCACTGAGCAGCCTGTGATAGCTCATTATGTTTACATTTATTTGTAAGGATTTTTTTACATCTAAGGATCTGCCCACATATGTCAAACTGTCTCCTGCCCCGGATCACCCTCACTATAACCGGACACAGGCTTACAGCAGAACATAATATTATCATCAGCATTGAGGTCTTTAACTGCGTCCACACTCAGGACAAAGCACACTCCCCTCGTTCATCAGGAAACCACGCCCAACCATGGAGGCTTCGCACTTGCTGCACACGAAACAGTCGCTGTGCCAGTTGCGATCTTCGAAAGAGATGAACTTAGTTCCCCCAAAGCCTTTAAAGAAAAAAAGAAAAACATCATTGATTAGTTGAACATTAAAATCCATAAAACCTACACAGTTATGAACTGAATATTTCCAGATATGGTTTGCATGGTATTGTATGTAAAAGACCGGGATTTATTTGAATTGGCTATGCCATCATCAACTGCTTCCTATCAGCAAGCTGTCATTAAAGAGGAGAAAGATGTCAGTATTACATCCTGTTTTAAGGAATTTAATTGATTAGATTGTCAACCAAATAGTCAATGAATTTGCTGGGTGTTTCATAATATCAAGTAGATCTCATTTAATGTGCTAATCAGCCTTTAATTGCAACTATAAGGTTTAAATGTTTCATCAAATTTCAGTGAAATTTAATGGGGTGGAAACCAATCAAATTCCAACTCAGCCTTTAAGTCTCCTTTTTATTGTACATGCTTACAAAATTCCATCAAAATTAGATAATATTTAAGTGAATTGTTAACAGAAACAGGATGAACAGAAAGACAGACAAGGTGATTACTATCACCCAATCCTTTGCAGGGCCCTAATAAATGTGGTTGCCTGTGAGCACAACCTGTGTACAAAACCAAAACCTGGGACTATGACCTGGGACCATGACCTGGGTGCATAAACTGGGATCATAACCTGGGACCATGACCTGGGTCAAAACTGGGATCATAACCTGGGACCATGACCTGGGTCAAAACTGGGATCATAACCTGGGACCATGACCTGGGTCAAAACTGGGATCATAACCTGGGACCATGACCTGGGTCAAAACTGGGATCATAACCTGGGACCATGACCTGGGTCAAAACTGGGATCATAACCTGGGACCATGACCTGGGTCAAAACTGGGATCATAACCTGGGACCATGACCTGGGTCAAAACTGGGATCATAACCTGGGACCATGACCTGGGTCAAAACTGGGATCATAACCTGGGACCATGACCTGGGTCAAAACTGGGATCATAACCTGGGACCATGACCTGGGTTCATAAACTGGGACTATGACCTGGGACCATGACCTGGGTGCGACAACTGGGACTATGACCTGGGACCATGACCTGGGTGCATAAACTGGGATCATAACCTGGGACCATAACCTGGGTCAAAACTGGGATCATAACCTGGGACCATGACCTGGGTTCATAAACTGGGACTATGACCTGGGACCATGACCTGGGTGCGACAACTGGGACTATGACCTGGGACCATGACCTGGGTGCGACAACTGGGACCACAACCTAGACACTTACCTACGACCACGTGACCTGGGTACACGACCTAGGTGCTTAAACTGGGACCATTACCTGTGAGCATCAGTAAACATAATACCCGTGAGCATCAGTAAACATAAAACCTGTGATGACATCAGTAAACATAATACCTGTGATGGCATCAGTAAACATAATACCTGTGATGACATCAGTAAACATAAAACCTGTGATGACATCAGTAAACATTATACCTGTGATGGCATCAGTAAACATAATACCTGATGGCATCAGAAAACTTAATACCTGTGATGACATCAGAAAACATAATACCTGTGATGGCATCAGTAAACATAAAACCTGTGATGACATCAGTAAACATAAAACCTGTGATGGCACCAGTAAACATAATACCTGTGATGGCATCAGTAAACATAATACCTGATGGCATCAGAAAACATAATACCTGTGATGGCATCAGTAAACATAACACCTGTAATGGCATCAGTAAACATAATATCTGTGATGGCAACAGTAAACATAATACCTGTGATGGCATCAGTAAACATAATACCTTTGATGGCATCAGTAAACATAAAACCTGTGATGGCATCAGTAAACAAAATACCTGTGATAGCATCAGTAAACAAAATACCTGTGATGGCATCAGTAAACATAATACCTTTGATGGCATCAGTAAACATAAAACCTGTGATGACATCAGGAAACAAAATACCTGTGATAGCATGAGTAAACAAAATACCTGTGATGGCATCAGTAAACATAATACCTGATGGCATCAGAAAACATAATACCTGTGTTGACATCAGAAAACATAATACCTGTGATATTGCATCAGTAAACAAAAGACCTGTGATGGCATCAGAAAACATAATACCTGTGATGACATCAGAAAACATAATACCTGTGATGACATCAGAAAACATAATACCTGTGATGGCATCAGTAAACATAATACCTGTGATGGCATCAGTAAACATAATACCTGTGATGGCATTGGAACATCTGCAGCACTTCTTGGCGAAGAGATCACCATAGCAGGCAGCACAGTAGGGCTTCTCTTCACGTGAGGTGAACTTCTCCTTCGCCAACTCCTTGTTACAGTTGGTACAAGTGAAACACTCCTTGTGCCATGGCTGGTTCTTGTAGGCCACACCTCCTTTGTTGATTACCTAGAGACATCAGGTAACTCAGGTTATAACAGGTAACTCAGGTTATAACAGATAAACTCAGGTTATAACAGGTAAAACTCAGATTATAACATGTAAACTCAAGTTACAACAGGTAAACTCAGGTTATAACAGGTAAATGCAGGTTATAACAGATACAACAGATTATAACAGGTAAACTCAGATTATAACAGGTAAAACTCAGGTTATAACAGGTAGAACTCAGATTATAACAAGTAAACTCAGGTTATAACAGGTCAACTCAGATTATAACAGGTAAACTCAGATTATAACAGGTAAAACTCAGGTTATAACAGGTAAATCTCAGATTTTAACAGGTAAAACTCAGGTTATAACAGGTTAACTCAGGTTATAACAGGTAGAACTCAGATTATAACAGGTAAACTCAGGTTATAACAGGTAAACTCAGATTATAACAGGTAAACTCAGGTTATAACAGGT